GTATTCCATTTTCAGTTTGTTAAATTGGTTCATGAGATATACAGTTAGCGTCAAAAATATGAATACTCTCACGTTTTGACGATTTTCTTCATTTATATTTTCCATACCATTTTTTTTTTTTTTTGGTATAAAAATATAACACATTCTACAGCAAAAAGCAGCAGAACCGATTTTTCAATTTCATATAGAAGTGGGAAAAACTTAAGAAATACCAAAAAATTGTCATCAAAATTTTCAACTTTTCAATTCGATTTAAAAAAAAAAATTTGAGTACGCAGTTTTGTAACCCATCAAATTTAAATATAATAAGGCGCAACTTTCAAGTCTCTAAAAATTACCGTTGATTTTTGTGAATTTTTTTTCAAGGGTGTTTCGCATTTTTTTCCATATAACGCATGCACAAAATCTATTTGTATATGGAAGAAATGCGTAACATCCTCTACAAAAAAATTCTCAAAAATCAACGGTAATTTTCATAGACTTCAAACTTGCACCTCATTTTACTAAAATTTAATGGGCTACAAAACTGCGTACTCAAAAATTTTTAAACTTCCAATATATATATTTCTTTTGAAAAACGCTTTTGAATTCTTTACTCACCGTAAAGTAAACATAGTCCAATAACATTTACTAACAAACCCAGGCAGCCAACTATCACTAGGAGTTTCGGCTCATGTATTTCCTCTTCCTCTATGAACCTAAATAAATATAGAAATTTAATTTTTGTAGTAAAATTAGTTCATTTGCTGAATAAGTGCCACTAAATAATAAATAACGAAAACAAATTTTTCTCGATTTCGGGATTGAATAGTTAGGCAGTGTTGTCATATTCACAGCTTTAACTTTACTTAACTGTACATTACAGTTTTCATTGAGACAATCGTAATTTCTTTTTTTTTTCAATTTCCTTCTAGTACAAATTATTATTTTTTTTTTTAAATTTTAGATCTCAAGGCATAAATTAAAATATATCTTTCGGGGTTTTTAAGTATAGTTTTCAGCTGCTGTTTGTATTGTAGAAGCCACAGCAAGTATTGAAAGAATATTTTCTCAAATTTGTAGAAATAAAACCAACATAAGAAATTCCAGAACTCTGGAATTTTAAAAACTAAAGATCTAATTAAAATGCTTCAAATTGCAGTTAAATTGAAGTATCGAATTCATTTTATTAAAAAACATTCAATTTACGCAAAATTTAAAAACGGAATTTCGTTAGAAAAAAGGTGTGATTCCGATCCGTTTTATAAATACTGTTTTTGTTAGGTTATAATTTATTTAAACTGTTAATGTTATTTCATTTTGAGTTTTTTTTTATATTTATGCTTAACCTTTAGTTGTTGAAGGTTAAATTTTTTTGGGAATATAAAAAAAAATTCTGACAACACTGGTCGCGGGCTCGCACAAAGCGCGTTCGGCGCTCATCTCTAATAACAACACTCATCTAGCAAATAATAAGAAGTTTACCTTTTACAAGCCTCTATAGTTATGCTAAAACATAAAGCTACTAAAAAAACTGCGTTCACTAGCGCTCCCAGCACCTCCGCACGCGCCCAGCCAAATGTGTTTTTCGACCACTTCTTTGGGGACATCTGAATAAATGACAAATGACAAAATGATAATTAAATAAATTTACTTACAAATTATATCGACTTACTTTTATTGATAGAAAGGATATGACAAGTGCAGCGATGTCACCTAACATATGAAAACTGTCTGCCACCAAAGCCATTGAATTTGTTACGTAGCCAACTACAATTTCCACAAAGAAGAAAAACGCAGTCAACCACATCATTGAAAGCAAACGGCATTTTTTCCCCGAATACTTAGACATCTTGTCAGTACTGAAATGGTACAAAGTTAAAATATTCAACAGGATTATGTTTAAATTAACGGCATACATCTTCCAAAGTATGCACATCTACATACATATGTATGTACATAACTATACTTTATTGGCCTTATTCATAAAAAATTTATTAGGTTTAAAGAGCTTTATAAAGTGACATTTCGATTTATAAATCAGTAAGTCCTATTTATTTTTTATGAATTTGGGTGTACGTCTTAATAATTATAATGATAAGAGTAAATGCTTGAAGAAACTCAAGGAAAACTCTTTCAGCATAAATATATCAATGGCTGAGTGGAAGATCGACCTATCTCGGCAGCCAAGTTCAAAAACGCTCTATCTCAGAAATTTTTTGAACAACGATCCATCTCAGAAAACTTTTTAAGAACGCCCTACTGCAGATTTTGATTGAAATATGTATATAAATATACGCATGTATGTATTTACTTATGCATATTCATGAACTAAATCAGTTTTAGAAATAACTGCAAATTGCGTCGTTTTCACTTCATGATCAGAGTTGCGCGATCAGGCGCACTTATCAAAAGCATTCACAAACATACCCTACTTTCATTAACTATTAATGTTTGTATGCGTACATACATACATATGCCCAGTCGGAAAATGGGAAATGCATTACCATTTTCTACCACGAAAAGATTAACAACTAGGTTTGAAAGAAAAAATACATCTCAGTGTAAGCGAGCAGGTAATGTGTAGCGTCTAGTGACAGTTATGAAGCCAAAACCAAAATAGTTTGAGAACAAATTTAAGAGCCCTGAGTATGTCTTTTTTTTCGACGTATGTCAACGGCTGCCGTAGCGGAATGGTAGCGCGTTCGACTACCAACTTCTTGGTCGCGAGTTTAAATTACGTTATATAAAGCGACACGCGACACATTACTTTCCTAGGACATGCCTGTACAAAAAATGATGCATCTTGTAATGTATACTCTATAACGGCGATACATTACTTTCTATATTATCAAATATTCTATTTTCATACTGGGTGTATGCATATACAAAGACACATATCGCACACCATATTCATAAGACGCACAACTCAAAGAGTGCACACAGGGCAGAGAATGTGACTATTTTGCCTTACAAGAGTGTGACATTTTAAAAAACGAACACACAATTTTCTCACCCTTTGCTTTCGATTTAGAATCGAACACGAAAAGAGATATGGGCAATCAAAAGGCAACATTTTTTGGTAGAAACGAGATCACCATAAGAAAATTATACAATTAAAACGCAATTTTTCAAAAGGAATTGTAAAAAAATTGGCCGCGGTGGTGTAGTGGTAAGCAGTGCGCGCTTTCACTCATCCGCACCTGGGTTCAAGCCCTGGTCAAAGCAGCATCGCGAAAAATATAGGAAAAAAGGTTTTTTCTTAACAGCGGTCGTCCCTCGGCAGGCAATGGCAAACCTCCGAGTGTTTTTCCGCCATGAAAAAGAGCTTCTCATAAAAATGCAATCGCCGTTCGGAGTCGGCGTAAGATTGTAGGTCCCTCCGTTTGGTGTGACCCATCAATGCCACAAGTCGGAGGAGAAGCTCGGCCAAACACTAACATAACAAACGAAATTCAAAAAAGTAAAGAAGTAAAAGTTCGCATGAAACCGCACTTTATATATAGCCGGCGCAGGTATCAAATATCGTCGTTTCAACTTTCTCTAAAGTCTTATTTTGCATGGTAAGCAAAGGGGTGTTTTCCCCGATTTCATACGGGTTCGGTAATATGCTGAGTAGGGCTGTGCGATTATTCGATTACTCGAGCAAGTTGGTTAATCAATTATTCGGTTAATCAATTACTCGAGTAATCACGATTTTGATTACTCAAAACGATGATTAATCGAATTACTTGAAATATGATTACTCAAAAAAATAATTTTGCTCGTTAAAAGAGTTTGCTTTGGAAAATGCTTATTTACTTTTTTACATTCTGTATATGAAAAAAAATTTCGTTTTAATTTTTGAAAACAGAAACGTTGTTTTCAAAGTATCAAGGAACTTCAACTATTTTATACATATGTAAAGAGTTGAAATGTTGATTACTCATTTTACTCGAAATGTTGATTAATCATAAAACAAATTACTCAAATATTTTTGTATTTGGTTAATCAAAAATCTTGATTACTCGAGTAACTGAACTTTTGAGTAATCATAACTTCTAATTAATCGAATAACTGAGTTATTTACTTTATGATTAATTAAAATTTTGAGTAATCAATTAATCGCACAGCCCTAATGCTGAGGTAATGAAATCATTGAACCAAGTGTGGTAGAAATCGATAAAGCGGTTACTGAGATACAATTTGTGGCCATAAGGGGGCGGCGCCACGCCCACAATATAAAAATTTATAATAATATAATTTTCTGCTATGTGGTTATTGCAATCATCGATTTGAAGTGAATTATCGCAGTTTTCGTGTTTCTGTAAATTACCGTTATATGGGGGGTAGGCGTGGTTACTGCCCGATTTCAAAGATTTTCAACAGGTTTCTTAGCTAGATCCTAGGTCAGGCTCGTACCGAGTTTGGTAAGGATTGCTGAAGCGGCTACTGAGATACAGCATTTCATTATGAGCGGGCGGGTTCACGCCCATTTTCTAAAAATTTCATAATAATACTATTTTTTTACTAAAATTCTACTTCCCATACTATTTTTCAACAATCTAGATCCAATATTTACTGAAATATCGTAGTACAGTCTGATTTCATCTCGAGTTACCGGACAGACAGACATTGCTAAAACGATTTCTTTTTTTCATTCATCTTCAATCGATTTGTTAAAAATACCGCCGAAAAT